TGGCGAGCTTTGAAGAGGGCGGGGCCGAACCCGCCCCCAAGGATCTCTACGAGCCTACTTCTTTCTTGCGCAAATACCCCGTCAGCTTGGTGAATGTGGAGAATTTGGCGGAGGAGCCTTTTGACAAGAAGAGTGCTATCATCCGTGCGGTGACCAGTGAGATTGTCAACGTCTGCAAGGAGATTGCCAGTTTGAACCCCCTCTTCCGTGACCAGATTTCCGCATTCTATACCGACCAGTTTCCGGGTAATCTCAGCGATGAGCCAGCTAAATTGGCAGACTTTGCCGCCGCAGTCTCTGCTGGAGAACTACATGAGATGCAAGAAGTTCTGGAGATTATGAACATTGAAGAGCGACTTCCAAAGGCGTTAGTAGTGTTGAAGAAGGAACTGATGAACGCACAACTCCAGTCTAAGATATCCAAGGACGTCGAGGCAAAGATTCAGAAACGTCAGCGTGAGTATTGGCTGATGGAGCAGATGAAGGGCATCAAGAGAGAGTTGGGTATTGAATCCGACGGCAAGGACAAACTGGTAGAGAAGTTCAAAGAAAAGGCATCGAAATTGGCCATGCCGGAGGCTGTCAAAAAGGTGTTTGACGAGGAGATCAACAAACTGGCTCACCTTGAACCGGCCGCATCGGAATTCAACGTTACTCGGAACTACCTTGACTGGCTGACTCAAATCCCATGGGGTCAGAAGAGTGTGGAGAATTTTGGTATCAAGCATGCCATGACTGTCTTGGACGAAGATCACTACGGCTTGAAGGATGTTAAGGATCGTATCCTTGAATTCATTGCGGTTGGAAAGCTTCGCGGGACTGTGGAAGGCAAGATTCTCTGCCTTGTAGGACCCCCAGGTGTCGGAAAGACCAGTATCGGGAAGTCGATCGCCCGAGCTCTGAACCGGCAGTATTACCGGTTCTCCGTTGGAGGTCTCACGGATGTTGCTGAGATCAAGGGACATCGTCGGACCTACGTGGGTGCGCTTCCCGGTCGCATCATTCAAGCCCTCAAGAAGTGCCAGACCGAGAATCCTCTGATTCTAATTGATGAGGTGGATAAGATCGGACGAGGTCATCAGGGCGACCCATCATCGGCCCTGCTCGAACTTCTAGACCCGGAACAAAACTCATCCTTCCTCGATCATTACATGGATGTTCCAGTCGATCTGTCGAAGGTTCTCTTCGTTTGCACGGCCAATGTTACAGATACCATTCCTCGGCCTCTGTTGGACCGCATGGAGCTCATTGAGCTGTCCGGTTACGTCGCGGATGAGAAGATGGCTATTGCTGAGCGCTACCTTGCACCTTCTGCGAGGGAACTCACGGGTCTGAAGGATGTCGACGTTACGCTCCAGAAGGACGCTATCGAGGAATTAATCAAATCGTATGCCCGCGAGAGCGGTGTTCGAAATCTGAAGAAGCAGATTGAGAAAGTCTATCGCAAAGCGGCTTTCAAGATTGTCCAGGATCTTGGCGAGGAGGTTCTTGGCGAAGACAAGGCTCTTACCGACGAAGGTAAAGCCGCGCAGGAGGAATCGAAGAAGGAGACTGAAGAAGGAGATCCTATGGATCCCCCTACCGATCCCGAGAAATCGACAACGGAGACTCCACGTCTCGCGCTCAAGGTCCCTGAGAGCGTGCATGTCAGTATCGGCAAAGACAGCCTTACAGATTACCTTGGTCCTCCTGTCTTCACAGCGGACCGACTCTACGAGATTTTCCCCCCTGGTGTTACAATGGGTCTGGCCTGGACCAGCATGGGCGGAGCCGCACTGTACGTCGAGTCAATTCTGGAGAATGCTCTGACTCCCGAATCACGGCCTGGTATCGACATCACAGGAAATCTGCAGCCTGTGATGAAGGAATCCACGCAGATTGCATACTCTTTTGCAAAGTCGGTTTTGGCTAAGCAGTTTTCGGAGAACAAATTCTTTGAGAAGGCGAAACTTCATATGCATTGCCCTGAAGGTGCTGTTCCCAAGGATGGTAAGTCGAGGAAAAAAAATCTTAGCCAATACTACCCTTTCTTTTGAATGGAGGTCTAACAAGTGGATTCAGGTCCGTCTGCCGGCATCACCATGGCCACTTCTCTTCTTTCGCTGGCGCTGGATCACCCTCTCGACCCGACAATAGCAATGACGGGAGAACTGACCGTGACGGGCAAAGTCCTTCGTATCGGCGGCTTGCGGGAGAAGACGGTGGCTGCTCGTCGTGCTGGTGCGAAGAAGATTATCTTCCCTGCAGACAATATGTCCGACTGGCTAGAGCTACCGGAGGTGAGTAGATTCCATAATATATTATCTCTTCGGTACATTCATCGAGCTGACAATATATGCAGAACATCAAAGCTGGTATTGAAGGCCATGCAGTGAGCTGGTACTCGGAAGTGTTCAACATTCTCTTTGCCGAGCTCGACAGGGACGCGGCCAATAAGATTTGGCAGAAGCAGCTTGCAGGGACGCCAAAGAAGGAACCTCGCGAAGAGGATGATTGAAAGAGATCATGAGCAGGTTTCAACGTCGCCGTAATACATAATTCGGCCGCTGCTATGCTATGTATCTCACGTTGATTCATTGCGATTGCTTTGATGCCTGAGGCGTTCATTATGGGAAGCATGGGTCCGGAGTTTATGTTTCGTAGATTTGAGTTGGGACTAACGATTTCGCTTCGACGGTGTCTACAAAGCAAACCTCGTTTGGATACTGCATGTTGCCTTCGTCTCTTCTGGACTAGGACCAGACAAATATGGGCGCCGACTGCGGCCAGAGGATTCATGAAAACTATTCTCCGCTCTTCAAGAAAAGGTCTTTGCGACGGGTTTGTACCGGTCGTGTTGCATGGGAAACGTGGGCGGTACAGTGCATCTTCAACTTCTTGTTGGAGAGATCCTGTTGTCGTCTGTATGTATATATGAAGACGTGGTGGGTTCTTGATCTTGCCAGCTCGGCCTGGGAAGTGGCAAGCCTGCCAGTGAAAATATCATACAAACCTATCATATTCACAAGCCAGAAAAGGATATCCTTGTACTATTGCCAAACCTGACCGGGAAACTGGTCAAAATGGACCTGTGCCGATGCAATTTCTGACCATCAGACGGAACCTCTTTGACCTGCTCAACACGCGCAGACACTAAGATCGACTCGAATCGGCTGCACATGAACGGACGGGTTCTTTAGGTCCTCTGAACTTGGAATGACACTGAGATGTACTAGTAGTACACCGCACTTTAGGTCTTGTGTATCGCTGATGAAGTAGTACGACTCGGGAGTTCCATCTGATGTCAAGCTTGAGAGCAGGAGAGGGTAAGTGATTGGTGTTGGATATCTTTCTGCGTTGATTGGATGCACTGGCTGGGTTCTGGTCGTTCTATGGAAGCATCACTTTGAAACTCTATACTTTATCTAATAGATGACGCCGGTAACTATAACCTCAGCCTCGTCCTGCATCTTTTCTTTCTACTTTGCTTCTGTTTATTGTCCGGGTTCCATGTTGTTCAAGTATTTTGATGATCCGCCATGGTTGGCTACCTACCGACCTGCAATGCAATGGTAGGTTTGTCGCGATGTCTTCGACTGTCTCACCATGCGCGTAGAGCGATATGCTGGTTGGGTCAACGCCATCGCTCATCATCATCAGCATCGTTATCTCGTCTGTATGTTATGGATGGGAGAAGTACAAGGGACAATTGGAGTATACGCTGTCGTGCGCCAGCACATGAGAATACCGATACATACGCTGAAACCTTTGGGAAGGCTAAGGTACCTACATACTCCGAATAGCCAACTGGAACAGGCGAACTAAGGCTTCGAGAAAGATTTGGGCTGTGCATTAATATCTACCTAATGCATCAGGAAGAAAAGGGATGCAGGTTCACTGGGTCGTTTTGCTGGCGCTGCGAATTGGATACCAGATTCGAATTACAAGGCTGTCGCAATTGAGTATTTACCGAGATGTCCTAGTTATCTATCCGTGGTGTGTGAGAAAAGATGATGCCTTCGTAACTCTTCTATACAGATATGTCAGGCACATATCAGGCCGCCATACAGCTTCAATATTCCATTTGTGCGTTTGGTATTGAGTGTTAGTCTAGTATCTATCTCAAAGGATGTTTGAGTAACATCATTTCTGGTGATCAACAATTTTCTCTAGGATTTCTTTTGTTGTTTTTGTTTTTCTGTTATTGCTCCGTTGTGCGGGACATCTCCAGCTATCCTGTTTTATACTCCGTAAATTGACTATCCCAATGCAAGGACTAATCCAGGAGGAAGGAGGGGTGACGGATCATTATATTGCTGCTCCAACCATTATCCTTAGTTCAGTTAGATGTCAGAAAGAAGACTTGGATCTAAACGAGTAGACGCCTTGCAGGCTTGCAGCAAGCAGGGCAAAACCACCATCAAACTGTTGCCCATTGGCAATTATCCATCTATCATATCTTTTTCCTCTTGCATCTTCAAGTATCGAGTCTACGTATCTATCTATCTATCTATCTGTCTGTCCGTCCGAAGACTACTCAGTTTCGTGATTCTTTTATCGCCGCCACAAGAATTTCCCTGACTCCTGATGCCCTTCACCTTGACTCATTCTACCTCGCCCTCATTGTTCGATCCTCATTAGGCAGTCAAGAGGAAAAAAACCAACCCAGCCACAGCCCAAGCTGGCACGGACGAAGCAAATTTTCATACGACCTAAATTCAAACCTCACCGACTTCTCAAGGGAACAATATAGAAAACAGGAAAAAAATTTTTCTTCTTGTTGTTTTTTTGTTTTTGTTCTCTTTTCCCAATCATCTTTTCGCGTCTCTCTCTTCTATCTCTCCCCTCTGTCTTCAGGTTGTTCGATTAGACAGGTGAAAAACCGGCTGCAGCACCAGTGAATTGATTGCTATCGTCCTTTCTCCCAGCGCCGGCCTCAATTCTTATGGACGTCGGGAATCCAGTTGGCGGGGTGTTCAAGTCGTTCCTTGCACGACCGTGGAGCGACCGAATCGATCTGTATGGCCATCTCCATCGCAGACAGTTCCTATAGCCCCACGAGGCACCTGGGTTTTCTGCTTGACCCAGAAAAGGTCAACCCTCGCCCCAAACAGAGCATGTGGCATCGACTCGGTCTTCGAAGACTGCTTGGCCGTGATGATCGCGACTTATCCTCCCGGTCACCTTCTGGTGACTCCTCGCCTCCCGCAAACCCTTCTTCCACAGCAAACAACAACGGCAATGCCCACCATTCCTCCAAACCCCACGATAACCTGACCCGCAGACTTTCTCGCAGGGTAGGTGTCGGTCTGCCCCGTTCAACAACATTCAAGAGACAGGATTCGGAACGACGAGATCGTCTAGCCCCCGTCGAACCAGAGCCCCGTCGTGCCGTTTCCGCCGACCGTCGTCGCCCGTTGAGCGCCCAGCGGACCAGGTCCCCACAGCCCACCGTGGACCCCAGATTGTCCGCGCCCGAGGTTCCATGGCACGACCACGCGGAAGAACCCACGGTGGAGGAAGTTGAACCACCCGCGACGACGAATGATGACAGTGAGGTTATGTCCGATTGGAATCCGTGTCCCGAGGTCGCGGATGTGCCCGAACAGCCGCCGGAGGATCTGATTGAGATGGAGTTGGAAAAGCGATGGATACTGAATCTGAGTATGCATTTTCGTGACCGGTCCGAGCGCGAGAAATTTTTCGTCACCTATGCAGAGGCCCCCAACCGATGGCGCAGAGTCACCATTTCTTGCGATTATCGGGGGGCTCCTCCCGATTCGCTTGAGCAGGATCTGAAGGAATTACGCTACCAGCGAGACAAGTGCGCTCGAATATACGAGTCTATCCGAGAGTCGCTTCCAGAGATTCAGTTTTACGACACAGTCACAAACCTGAAATTGGAGACGCGTGATGGCCGGCTCCATGTGCACGTCACCGAAGACGTAAACGAAATCATCCCCTACCCTCCGACCTCCTGCATCGGCCATTTGCCGGAGGCTCGCCTTGTCCCTGAATATCAGCTGCATTTCGAGGCGCATCTGTCGGGCTTCGTGTACAATGTCCGACTGGATGGCAAGAACTATATCAAAAAGGAAATTCCCGGTCCCGACACGGTCGACGAGTTTCTCTACGAGATCAACGCTCTACATGCCCTCAACGGTTCACCAAACGTCATTCAAGTGGAAGGGATTGTTGTCAACGACCGGCGAGATGTCGTCAAGGGTCTACTTATCAGTTACGCCGAGCAGGGGGCATTGGTTGACATTTTGTATGAGCAGCGGGGCACAATCTCCTGGGAGCGGCGAGCGCGGTGGGCGAGGCAAATCGTCCAGGGCCTGGGTGAGATTCACGAGTCGGGATACGTGCAAGGAGACTTCACATTGTCGAACATCGTGGTGGACGCCGATGACAACGCCAAAATCATCGATATCAACAGACGAGGCTGTCCTGTGGGATGGGAGCCCCCTGAGATTGCCGCCAAGATCGAGAGCAACCAGCGAATATCCATGTACATCGGGGTCAAAACCGATCTTTATCAGCTAGGAATGACGCTGTGGGCGCTGGCCACCGAGGAAGACGAACCTGAACGGCAGCCTCGGCCCCTCTTGCTGGGCGAGGAGGTGAACGTGCCTGATTGGTATCGCAGGATTGTATCAATCTGCTTGAGTCCTTCTCCTCGACACAGGCTCTCGGCAAAGGAGCTCCTGGTCTTCTTCCCGCAGGAGCTTTCAACAACACCGCAATTCCACTCGACGCATCTTCCACATGGAGGCCTCGGGGTTGGACTGTACAACAGCCCGTTACCTTTATATAATGCTCGTGCCATTACTACAGCGGCACCTTTTGCCGGTCCAAACAACCGGCCATTTTATCAACCTGGTCATTTCCATGAAAGAGCAGTTTCTCTGGACGAGTCAGGGTCTCGGCTATATGCCAATAGCGTAGAGTCCTTTCCAGCATACGCTGCTGGGGAAGACTGTTACAGTCTGTCACTGGACGACGAAAAAATGCCGACCACAAATGAACACTCAAACTCCACGCACGAGTACGCAGCCGACAATCGCCCCTGTGAGGTGACTTTTGATTCTCGAAATCCCCAGACGAATGGCCAACGCCCTCACTCCTCTACCGATAGAGGCGTACCCGAAAACAATCTTCGCAACCACATCCCCGACCGTGGTGGAGCAAATGAGAGAGGACGACACACTAGCGGGGGAGACTCTATCCATCAAGCATATCCTGTCGATCAATCAGCGAACTCGTTACATTTCCAGATTGACCATATCCCGGCGGAGCTGGCGGGTGTCGGTCGAAATCCAGCCTGCTCTTCAGGCAGCACGAGAGAACCATCTTCAAGATCGGTGAAATACCATACGTCCTCTGCTTCATCAGCAACAACTCAATCTACTCATCCACATTTCTCCTCGACGGTGGACCTTGAGTGTCCCTATATCCCGAAGGGTAACTGGTCCACCGAAGCGTCAACACACGCCGTATCATCCCTTCTACATTCAGTCTTACCAATCAACCCCGCATCGAGTGTAAAGAAGCAAAAGTCTGCGGATCTGAATACAGACCGAATATCACAGTCGGCCATTCGCTCCGCTTTCAACTATCCAAAGCATGGTCTCTTGGAGCAAACACCCTATTTGAGCGAATCTCATCTGCCCATCAACCCAGCAATCCCCAACAATTCCTCGGCATCAATATGACAGTGGGTGCATATTAGAAACTAAAAGCCTTTCTCACGACTCAGCATTTCTTCCCAATGATTTAGCCAGGCCTCAGACCCATGGCCTCAAAGTGCTTGATACCCTTGATACACGTTTATGCTCGCGCTGTACAGTTACCCCGTTGGCGTCCCTTCCCATATTTTCTCCTTCGTTCGAATGGACGAGACTCGCGGAAAGTCGATAAAGGCGAACCTGGAGTTTTGGTTTCTACTATTCAGTCTCTTGTTGGTACGGCTCTTGCGCCATCGTTGAATAGAACCCAACCGCAACTATTGCTCATACTCGGTTGAGATACCAGGGCATTGGAAGTTGAAACATTCACTTCTCAGAACAGCACCACCGTTGTCTGAGTACGACCTGCGTTTTAGAGATGTGCCTATTTTCTCTGCGGTGCCAGGTCCTCATTCCCGATCTTCTCATGATATACGATTGGCGGATGTCATCTGATGCTCTTTTCCCTCTGCAAGTGGTTCCATTGTATACTTTTCCGATGTCCGTTGTCAATTTTTTCTCTTTCATGAAACTGTATTTATCTTATCAAAATTTTAATTGACGCCTTTTTTTTTTGCAAATATGGATCACGCAGGCTGCAGGTACGTCAGAGGAGTTGGCGATTGTTTCGTGGTAACTATTTGGCAACTTATTGAGCTGCCCTATAAGCTTTGCGTCTGTGGGACTACCTCATTCGGTTAAGCTGTTCCTTCGCCGCTTCGGCATTGCCGCGTGTTTGCTCCCAACTGGTAATAGAATGTCTCGCGGAGGACTTGTACCATGGGGCCTGAGCTCTCGCTCGGCTATATCGCGCCTGTAACCACTGCGCTACTGTCCGGCCTCTAGGAACGTCTCAAAGTTCCTCCGCCAGGGCTGCGCATCCTGTCCCAGACCACGGCCGATCAGAACAAGCTTGCAGTCGCCGCCGCCGCTTGTCTTGGGCTCCGAGTCTCGGATCTCGAAGACTTCCCGGACAGCCTGGATGATCTTACAGGACCCGTCTTGCAGGACTAGAATGCCTTTCAGACGATGGATCTCGAAGTTATCGAGGTTAGAAGTATCAGTATTGTCCGTTACTGGGATTTTTGATTCCCATAGGATGGACTGGAGCCAGGCGTCTACCCGTGAGACCTTGTCGGCTGGTATAGGGGGGATGATTATGGCGATTGTTGATATTGCCTGGTAGGATAGAGCAAATGGTTAGCAATGAGAAATTGAAGGTTATGGGCAAGGGTTAGTGTTACCGGGTCGATGTGACTGTGTCCCTTGGCACCAAAGTCCAGGCTATCCAGGTGGTCGTAGGCATGGAGATCCAGCACGACACCCTCAATCTGTGGTGTCCTGCTGTGGTCTGTGACGTGGATTTTGGCGACGCTGTTGATCGCCAGGATGCGAGAGCGGACGTGGTCGAGTTCCTCCTGGGTAACGAGATCCGCCTTGTTCATGATGATCACGTCCGCGTGGGAGATCTGCATGTGCGCCATGGAGAGCACAGGCCCCGAGTGCCCGTGGCCCTCGCTCTCAGTTCCATCGGTATGGCTCGATGCGGTTTCCTCTGGCGCGGGCTCGTCCAGAAGACGGAGGATGTTCTTCGCGTCGACTAGCGTGACGATTCCGTCTAGGTAGATGGAGCTGCCGAGGTTATCGTCTACCCAGAAAACGGGTGCGAGGTTGCCCGGGTCGGCGAGCCCCGTTGTCTCTAGGAGGATGTAGTCGAATGCCCCCCTGCGCTCCATGAGTGACTCGATGGCCATGACGCCGGAGTCTCTGGCGGCCACCTGCTCAGTCACCTTGTCTTCGGAGCTTGGGGGAGCAGTGCTTACTTGACGGAGCAGCAGATGCAGCCGTTTCCGACTTCCATCCACTCCGTGACTTCTTGGCCGTTCTGGTTGACCGTCAATGGCTTTTCGATGTCCGTCGCTGGAGTTGGGTTAGTTTAATGGCTGAATTGTGCCTTGCCGTGCCACATCTTACAGTCCCCGAACTCTAAAAATACATATCAGTCATGTTCCTTCAGATGATCCTGGACAACAAACCGTTCATGATCACGGCTATCTTTTTGCCATGTTTCTCACTCAAGATGTAATTAAGCAGGGTAGTCTTGCCCGCACCGAGATAGCCTTGTTGTATGTGAGCCTCAAGCACAAGAAGCTCATTTCTGATAAAGTTATACCAGTTACCAGAGTGATAGGTACGCGATCCTGTGCCGGCGTGTCTAGCGTTGTAGATGGTGTCGTGGAAATATTGGGCTTTTCTGAGTCCGGTAGCGCGGACACATCAACCAGCTCTGGGGGAGCATCGTCATCATCGATAATATCTGCTGGCATGGTTTGAGTTCGAGATGAAAGCCTCGCCCAAACAGTCTATGAACTATGAAGCGATCACCGTACCTTATTCTTGCGGGGAAAGAATGACGTCTGTTCCTGGAGCGGAGGCAGATTAGGGCTCAGGGCTTCCCTGGTCATGGGCTTCGGGCTACGGTAGCCTTAGAGCCTTGGAGCCTAAGGATCCTGGTGGTGGTCTCGGCCATCGAGCTCCGCAGCAGTAGCTCTCCATCAATCATCACCAGCATCAGTGTCTGGTGGCTGCCGTCATTACAGTGACAGGCCGTGCCTTGAGATTTTTATTTTTTATTTCTTCGTCTTCTTCTTCTTCTTCATCATCATGGCTGCTGCTGGAGCGTCGCCTTCCAGCTCGCCGCGCTTACCTAGTCCTCCCCCGTTCACGGAGGTACAGATTGGGCCTAAGTCACCATCGGTCGGCGATTCGTTTGGGAAAGAGACGCAAGAATTTCTGGCAGCTTCAAAGGGCAATGATGATGCTTCTTCTCGAAGGATCCGACCTGGAACTAAAGCGGCTGATATGGCTGTCGGTCCTCCATTGATTCCTTTGTCGCAGGTGAGCTCATGTAAACAAGCAAGTAAAAGGTGTTTACCTTCGCTAACCAGGCCCTCTGTTGCCCAACAGCTCGACTCCCCGTTCCAGCTTCAAGAACACCTGAAAGCGCTCTACAACCACTTCACACGACCGGAGGGATCTGAGACCGTCGTGCCTATCAATCGAGATGTTGCGATACAGCTTGCGGAACCGCCCGAGGGGGTGGACAGGTCCCTCTGGCTCTACGAACTCTGTCGTTTCCTCACTATGAAAGTGAATAACCTGATCGTTGCTTTCTTCGCCGAAGACCCGCCCTGCTCCGCGCAAACGTGTCCTGAGATGCGTGCATCCGAGTGGCAGTATCTTTGCGCCGTCCATGATCCCCCGAAATCCTGCTGCGCGATCGACTACTGCTGCCATACGCTCGACTGGGCCACCAACATCCTCACATCTCCAAAGCATTTTCCGAGTCGTCTTACGTTGGGCTCCGAGGCGGGCGGTGGGCCGCAGGCGAGTCTGAGGTACCTAACCAACATATTCCGTCGACTGTATCGCATCTTCGCCCATGCCTGGTTCCAGCACCGGGATGTGTTCTGGCAGGTTGAGGGTAATGATGGGCTGTACATATTTTTCAAGACGGTGTGCGATATGTACAAGCTTATTCCTGAAGACAATTATACGGTGCCTGCTGAAGCGGAGGGACTCGATGCCAATCAGTCAATGCAGGAGCAGGCGGACAACCGCCGGATGACGATCCTACGAAAGGACAGCGAGGGCCCGCTGGAGAACGTCGAGCCTTCATCCATTAGCACTGGTGCAACCACCCGGCGCCACAAGAATAGCGCGTCCATCAGTTCTCGCGTTACAACGATCAGTGAGGGTGCCGAGGAGTCAGAAGAGCAGCAGATGGCGGAACCTGTGATAGAGTCAAAGGATGAAAAATCTACGGAGGCCGTACCCGAACTTGAGTCTGAAACACAGCCTGCAGAAGAGCCTGCAAGTGAGGAGCAAAAGGAAGCCGCCGATCCTTCCGCGCAAGACCCGGCCGAGTCGCAGGTTACTGTTGAAGAGGTGCAAGAGGACGAAGAGGGGAAGGCCTCAGATACGAATACAGAAGCAGCAGCAAAGGATGATCCGGAAGCTGTCCAGCCACCTGAGGAGCCGGAAGCACCCGAGGCCGAGGAGTCGCAAGCAGACACAATACAACCCGATACAGACGAGACCACAGAAGCAAGCGAAGCGGAAAAGCCCTCGCCCGTAGAGGAAGCGTCCACTGAGAAGACCCAGCAAGAGTTCGAATCGCAGACGACAACCAAGCAGGAGCCGGAGTCAACGACAGAGTCAGCCAAGGAGACTTGAGATCATCTTTGTTCCAGGTTTATTTATCTCTATGATGCGATTACTCCCACACTTGATCGAGACCAAGTGGAGGCTCAATCGGCATGTAATATACAACTGAGGCCGTCTAGAAATTAATGATACCCATTACTTTGCGGAATGCTGTCAGTAGTGGCCTTGCTGTCTGTCGTAGTATTTGTATACTCCTTATGGGGAAGGCCTCAACGCTCAGCCATCCGGTTCCGCTATCAAGCAGGTCCCGCACGGCTTCTCCAACTCGACTCCGCATCATAATCAACCTGAACCGCCAAAACATCCACTCTCGAGTGGGATCCCTCCTACTCTTCACCAGGCATCCACTTAATCCCCGGTCAGCCCATTACCAAACAGATAAAAGAGAAAGTTTCATGTCCGTCCGAGACCCCGTCCCCGCCATGTCCGCCGCCCTCAAGGGTGCCCAGATCTACTTTGGCCCATTCCTCGTCACCTCCCAGGTAAGGTATTCTCCCACACCTCACCGGCAGACAAAGACAGGACAGACACTAACACCATGCAAGGTCTTCCACCTCACCCCGCTCTCCTTCGCCCTCGTAAACCTCAAACCCATCCTCCCGGGCCACGTACTCGTTTCCCCGCGCCGGCGCGTCCCCCGCGTCGCGGACCTGACCGCCGCCGAGACGACGGATCTCTTCCTCACCGTTCAGCGGGTCGGCAAGATGGTCGAGCGCGTGTACGGCGCGTCGAGTCTCAATATCGCTGTGCAGGACGGGCCGGAGGCGGGCCAGAGCGTGGCGCATGTGCATGCGCACATCATCCCGCGGAAACGGGCGGATCTGGACCATCGGGGTGGGACGGATGCGGTGTATGGTTTGTTGGATGGGGAGGAGGGGGATTTGAGGCGGGCCTTTGTGGAGGGGAAGGGGGCGCAGGACGGGGAGGGGGAGGTGGAGAGGAGGCCGAGAGCAAGGTTCCCTGCGGTTGATAACGAGGGGCGGTCGCTGAGGAGTATAGAGGAGATGGAGGCCGAGGCAGAGATGTTGGCGAGGGAGATGGAGAGGATGGAGAGGGAGGTTGTGGAGTGACCGTACCGGTGGCTTATAGCAGGTTCTATAACGTAGACGAAGAATACATACTAGATGCATTAGGAACTGTCAACCGTGCCTCGTTGAATGCCATGATACCCATATGGCTCATACCTAGACTCATGCTATCGCACACTATCCGGTCTAATTCTAGAATACCAACCCAAACGCCTCCACCGGATTCGGTGGGATGATGGCCCAAAAAAACAAATGTAAAGAATGACGCAAAGTACGAATACACTCAACCTTCCAGTCTCTTGCGCTTAGTCGCCTATGCTGTACCATTCGTGTTCGCAGTCATTCCCTTCCAGAAAGCCTCCCGCTCCTTGAGAACAACGGTCGCCCATTCCTTGACCTCTTCCAGCTGGATACGACCAGCAACGTGAGAGAACTCCGAGAGGTCAACCTTGTGGGTGCGCTCGTACTCAAGCATCTGCAGCAATAGCTCCATCTTATCAACGTCGTGCACAAATTGCGCCTCAAGAGTTTCGTTCGCTTCGTATTCGTTGAAGACCTTCAGAATCTCCTCGCCCGTCAACATGCCTCCAGGTACACCGCCAAGCAGGTTCTTCGCAATGTAGTTCATCACTTCGGCCTCGCGGCGCGCCTTTTCAGTCTTGTTCACCTTATCCACAGGGGTTATGTCGCCCACAATCGACTCGGCCATGTCATGGATAAGCGCCATCTTCATGCAGTGGGGCAGGTTGAGGCGGGAGGCAAGAGCAGGAGGTGCAAGCATGGTCATGATTGACATGCGATACATGTGGTCAGAAATCGATTCGCCGGTGCTGATGCCAAAGCGACGCCAACCTTCGCGCTTGGTGGTCTTTAGACGTTCGAGGAGGTGGAAAAATGGTATGGGGGAGGCGGAGTTTTCTTCGGGAGGGTGAGGCAGTGTGGACAAAACTACAGGCAATTAGAACCGTCAAATCACGGAGATTAGCATTGAAGTAACTGGGTAGATCATACCTGACTGAGTGGTCCAGAGAGGGTCGGAAGGTGCGTCGGAACCCATGATGCTGTTGGATGAGGGGTACGTTGGTAATGATTTGAGTGGAGAGATACAGCTAATTCAGAGACCGGATGGCCTGAAATTAATTGAAAGAGAGACTGAGAAGTAATGCACAGCGCTATGGGATATATGACGATAGAAGCGACTGCAGCAGTGATAAAGATTTAAATAGTTGGAGTCAATGAGAGAGGGAAGAAAAGGGAAGATCTCTGCGGGGAGAGAAAGGAGAGCTGTTTCTTATCACCGCCCACTTGGTAGGAAGGGAACAAGCAGACGGCGCAGCAGCCACAAGCAATATTAATGATGGTTATGGAACAGTATCACCTAATATAATTGTTCAATTGTCCTCCTTCAGTACTTGCCTGCCAATTCTATAAACCAACCTTCTATCCATTCAAGTCAATTGTCGTCTTGTCTTCTTAATTGTGATGCTCCTGATTGGGCCTCTAATGCAAACCATGCAAACAGCTTATCGTGCAGATAAACAACAAACCAGCCTTATTTGAAGTTATAGCTCTGTAAGGATTGGGGAATCATCAGGGACTATCATATCAGACTGATTCAGTCCTTGAATAGACGATTACATACAGCATACCTTAAGATGCAGGCTCTGATATGAATAAATATGAATAAGCTAGGAGAAATGATTGCGGATGAAAATGTATGCATTCTTCTGCTTCCAATCACTAACATTTAAGGGCCTGATTCACGTGATTACACCATGTTATTCCATATTGAAGCACCAGTATCGCTTGAGTACAGAATAACCATTATTAACTCTGGAAAATGGATACTGTGTAGAGGTAAATACCTCTCATGGTATGCAAATAATGTGCCAATAGATGGCTTGTGTCTGTCCGGGTTCTGAGACGACGCCGTAATAGTGGAGTTCCCCATAGTCTGTGCTGGATCTTCGGTCCATGGAAGCTTTGTTGACATTATTCCCCCATATCATCTGCACGCATCCACCATGCAGTCCTCGAAACAGCCTCTCCGGCCCAAATCCCTTAATTGGGCTCACCAATCACACACTTGCGTCTTCATTCGCAATTTGAAGCTGCTGCAACTTGATCTTCAACCAGACTGGCCCGACATTACTGTCCGCTCCCTTTCGCCCTCATCGCAGAACCAGCGCCAGCGTATTAGAGCGGTCGAATGGGCTCTGTATCACCTCGTAGCCCTCTGGGATCCTAAACTTGCTCACGATGTATGTGATCATCTGCAATCATTGCCCACAAAGCGCATGAATCTAACAGCTACCGTCGCTAGAAACTCCGCCCTTTCTACCCTCCGTTGGAACCGCTACAATCGGTCAATCTTCGTGCCGCCCTATCTCGGGTGCTTTCTGATCTGAAGAAGAATGGCGACCTCGGCAGGGAAACAATCTTCCGCAAGTCCATGTTGGACGATTGCAAAGGGGACAAGGTCGACGAGCTCCTGGCCGTCTTCTCCACCGCCGTCTTACGCAAGGTCCTGGCTTCGCCGATGGACAGTCTGCCAAACCCCGCCGTGAGATTGTCTATGGCTAAGGGCATCACCCCAGATGAGTATCAGCTGATGCTTCCGCTGATTCTTGCCCACCGTGTCTCTCTGGCCACAATGGGTGAGCGTCGATCCCGGATTATGGACGTTCATGAAAAGTTCTCTCAGCTGCTGGACAGCAAGGAGACTCAGCTCGATGATCGTTCTAAAGAGGGGCCGCCTGATCTTCCCAAGGATGTCGCCAACCTCGATGTGTTAGCGCGCGAGCTGAAAGAGAATTGGATGGGTAGCGAGGAGTGGGCTGATACCCTGCTTCAGGGCGGCGCTCGCAGTAGCAGTGATGCCTTCTTAGAGCTGCCGTTCGAAACAGCATGGTCCAAGGCAAACGAGACGACTGTGGAGGATCTGACCGTCAGCACGACACCCGACCTGCTGGTTGACTTGGAGTCCCGCATCGCGCGTCAGCGCAATCGGTTGCAGAAATGGCGCGAGGTTGCCAGCTCCATGCGCGAGAAAGACAGTGCTGGGTTCCAGACGGGAAATTCAACAAACAAGGCGCCACTGGCCTTCAAGGATCACCAGGCTCTCACCGTGGCCAGCATCTCAAAAGCCGTTCGCCAGCCGCTAGCTCGAGCTGCTCCCCGACAAGACGACCAGGCACTTCTACACTCGATGAATGAAGCTCTTTCCCGCATCGACGGTAAGCCTCGTTCTTCTGGACGAGCCGCTCCTCCACTACGTGTCCCTGCCATGGAACCAACCATCACAATACCCTCCGACGCTGAATCGGCCAAACCCTCGATCTCACAATACTCTAGACCTTCCTACTGTAAAGAATTAAAGGAAAACGAGGCCGTCCCGTCACCGGGCCACCAATCAACCGGAACAAGCTCGCCTACCGTTCAAATCACCCCGGATCCGGACGACGAACCCAAACACGACCCGCGCCTCAACACGTTCACCCTCGTCGAACGCACCCGCAAGTCCATGTCGCTGCTTCCGCCCCCGAGCAGCCGGCACCCACAGCAGCCCCGTCGCTCGCGCAAGTCGCGTGTCTCCCTTCCCGTCAACCAGTTCGAAACACCCGAGAAACGGTCGCAGACTCGGGCATCGACTCCACGGGACGAGCTGCTTGAGGAGGAGGCGGACTACAATAGTGTGTTCAAGTCACGGCCACGCGTCGCGCATAGTCCTATTGCCTCGCCGGCGGTGCATGTAACGCCCTTGGGGGAGTTTGATCCGGATGCAGATGAGGACTCCACTGGGGACCTTGAGGAGATGGATCTGATTGCTTCTCCGTCTGCTCGTGGGCGGATATGATACCTCCCATTTATTTGTGACTTTTTTTCTTCGCATTATACGAACTGGCCTACGTCGGTGAAAATGTGCATATATGCTTCGATGACGCCCAATGTAAGGCTGTCTCGCGGAAAGCAGTTCATTAGTTCATTCATGTTTATCGTACGATATAGTAATTGTACATAAGTCATCCTTTGTATCCTTCCCAGAGTAGTCCCGCCCCAGTTTGCCGTGTATCCCAAAGCAATCTTTATCTGCATAAATGCCTACCGTACCCACATTAAATTCATTGTGATAAATATTTGCCTCTTGTCCTTCGACCCGGATTCCGAGTGCGCCTGCGCGTCGAGGGCGGCTCATAGTCGGAAGCAGATGCCGACGGCTCGTCCTCTTCAGAACCCGATATCCGCTGTGGAGACGAGAGGTCGCCGCCCCCATCGGAGCTGATGCTAATGGCATCGTGACTGGGCCCCTCTCCATCCTCGCTTTGAGCTTCAGTTTGCTGCACGGACGGACGAGCTTGGCGTGGATGATGATCCTCAACAACCAGGTCGCCGTCGTCGCCGTCGTCTTCACCGGGAAGAAGGAAGCCACCACCACGGTCGGCAGGTTCCCCCGGCCACTCGTGCAAGGCCTCCGGAACAGGAGGTGGACGGGCCTGACTTCGTGCCTGTCGGCTTGCGAATGGGTTATGAGATTCACGCTCCGCGTCTCCCTCGTCGGCTCCGTACTCCTCGCGAACGCGCTCTGCGATGCGCAGCCCGAAGAGGAACTTGCGCCATGTCTGTAGGATGCGTTTCTCGGCCTTGAGCTGCTCCTTCTTCCGTTTCCCGGCGTCTTCGGCGCGCCAGGCGTCCTTGACAAGATCTTCGTTCTCGGAGGCTACAACCACACCCTGGATGACGGGGACGGCCATCTTGGACCCGAACTCAAAGCCTGTGACGGCTTCCGCGTAGTCGATGCCAAGCTTCTTGCAGATGCGTACTGTGCCTGGCCACGGAATGTGGACGGCACCGCGGGGTACCATGCTGGGCACGAAGCAGTCAATGTTGCCGTATTCGTTTTTGGGGATGATGCCGTCCCGAATTGGTGGTGGTATTATGTATTCGGTCTGGTACTTGGCATATAAGCCTTGCTTGGGCTTCTCGCCCGTCTCGCGTTCCATCTCGTCGACTTCGCGCTTCCGGAGAAGGGTGACGGCGCGGATCGGCACCAGTTTCAGCGGGGCTTCCCCCATCTTGATCTGGCGTCCTTCCTTGTGCCAGCTCTCAGCGGACAGGCACCTCAGGACATCTGCTCGCCGGTAGACATTCTCCTCTTTGGCCTTGTCGCCCTTGCCGCTCACAAACGTGCGCACAGGCTGGGCTCCAGGTCGAAGGGCTTCTTCGCGGCGCAGAAATCGCTCCAGGACGAATTCAGTCGACGAACGAAGGCTCTGCAGCGTGTCCCCCTCCTTGACCTGTTTTTTCTCGGGTTGGTTAGGGCGCAGGTCTTTGGCGTCTTCGACCTCATCGACTTTTGTGCGATTTTTCTCGGAGCGCTCATACACCCGCAAAACGGTCCGAAACCAGTCATACTCGAAAAACTTTCTCTTCCGGCCGGGAACGGGAATCCTCTCTACTGGTATGCGATAGCCCTTGGTCTTCCCTGGCCAGGTTCGACGACGGAGGTAGCGTGTCGTGACATCCTTAGCAGTCTTATCGGGAGAGTACGCAACAACGTAGCATATAACCTGCTTGGCCTTCTCGGCTTTGGCCCCACGGGGCTCAAACGTAGCCTGCAGCTCTGGAGTTGTTGCCACAGGGGTTGACAGTATCAGGGGATCAACAGGTATTATCTCGTGCGTGATGGGTGAGGCTACCTCAGTCCAATAGATGGGAAAGGGAAGGTCCTCGTCGTATTTTTTGGAACTGTACTTATGGGCGGGAGCGGTCTCTGAGTCACTGCTGTCGGAGTCTAGACCAACTATAGGCTCTGATTCCCCATTTTCCTCAATGGTCCCTTCCTCCACTTTGGCTCTCGGCGTGTAGGCCTCCGCTTTGGTCCAGCCAAATCCAAGGGGCTGCAGATTGGCGACCAGACGGGCTTCCATACCTAGAGCGCGGACCAGCGCGGTGAACAGCTGAGCCCCGAGATCTCGAGAGCCCTCCATTCGCTCTGCTGCAGACCGGAACTCTTCCACATTGCGTATTCGCTCCCCATGCCTCTCAGGATCGTGTTCGTCTTTTTGGAAAGAAGATATTTCGGCTTCCAAATGAGCCATCGGCCGATAACCACCCTTTCGTAGTCCCGGCGCGGTAACCTTGAATTGCTTTCTCCAGTAAGCGGCCAAGACCCTGAGCAATGAGATGACGGGGTCCCCGCGACTCATATCTGGCTTCCCAGGCTCTACGCGCGATGACCCTTCACTCCAATCCCGTTCTGATTTCCGAGTTTTGCCTTTCTTTTTCTTGGACTTTATCTCCGTGTTCTTCTCGGGAAGCTCGAGACCGGAGGCGATGCGCCATCTCTTGACCTCGTTATGAATTCCAGCAGGGAGCTTTCGACGTAGAATCTCGTGGACGTTGGTATCGTTTGCCCAGGCGTTGCGCACCGCGTTGTGGTAGATTAGGAATTGGACGTTTAGACAATGGGTGGCGATGCGGATTTGGCGCTCGATCTTGGATGGACCCTTCTTCCCATCTGCGATATCAGTCAGATGTACCTCGTTCTTGTCCAATGTCAATTCGAGATCCTGCACAGCAGGAGCGGGCGTCACCGAGACCGACGCAGAGGTGAATTTGGAGTCCATCGCGTCCTCCCAATCCACCTCGTCGTCGTCTTCGTCGGACTCGGACTCGGATTCGGAGCCATCGGAGGCACGTTTCTTCTGTTTCTGAAGGTCACTTTTCGCATGGGGTTCGTCGTCCAAGCTAGGCGCATCACTTAAGGATGAATCGGAGTCAGAGTCTTCAAAGTCTGCGATCTTCACGATGGGGGTGGCATTCTGACGCTTGGCCGTCGGCGGATCCTCGGAAGAGACACGCTTACGGGGAACGAAGGGTGGCATGCGAGGGAGCCGTGGAGATCAGGATTACCAAAATGGCGAAATATCAATAAGAGATGATGAGATTGGCTCGGAAATCTCGAAGGAAAGACAAAAGAACGACGTGGCAACGGGTGGAACAACCGAGGATGGATGACGGAAGGAAACCCATAAAGATCTCCACATTCATTCTCCAAGTGGAGCCATATTCTTCATTTCGATAGACAATACGAGAGGTAGTTAGTATACATTCGATCTCTTGGACTCCAAATCATCACGCAGATATATTTTTGAAAATACGAAAGCCTCAATCACTACTACATCAGTGCCTAATTTTGTCGCCAACGCGCAATCTCCATGGACGCCGTCAAACGATTCTTCTCCTCCCCGCGGTTTGCGGTTGCTGGAGCCAGCAACGATGCGAACAAGTTCGGCTACAAGAGTGAGTTATGATGAAAGATAGCATGGCATACGGATCTTCGATCTATGAAGGTTCGATCCTCGAATCGCTGACATCAAGATACTGATAGTCCTTGCTTGGTATCATCAACACTCTCTGCCCGTCACTCCCTTGAATCCTCGAGCACCACAGATCAATCTCCCCTCCAAGTCTTACCAGACGGTGCCTTCGCCCAGCGCTCTGCCTTCTCCCTCTCAAACCTCGTTGTCGGTTGTTACTCCTCCTGCCGTAACGCTGCCTCTGCTGCAAGAGGCTCATTCGGTTGGGATCCCCGCGGTCTGGCTGCAGCCTGGGACCTTTGACGATGCAGTGCTGGAATACGCCCGAGAACACTTTGAAGCAGCGATTGCGGGAGATGGAGGACGAGGCCACGAAGGCTGGTGTGTGTTGGTGGATGGAGAAGAAGGATTGGAGGCTGCTGGCGTGCAGTGGACTAGTCAAAAGCTGTGAACATCTAGACTATGATCATCGCCAAGCTGATGCATATACACTGTGAATGACGAAATGTTAATTGATCTATAGCAAATGTTGATTGTTAGAGAAACAAAGAAAAAAAGAATAATAATGGATCCATCACATTAACATCATCGCTGCTTCTTAAGTATCATTGACCAATGTAGGTGTGGTCTATGCGCCTCTCCCAGCCATTTTCATACTCTTTTTCTCTCTTTTCTCTTTCCCGCCTCATTAGATTTGTCTCTCCCAACACACCAAGTAGTTGTCAGCATCATCATCGTCAGTATCGTTCGTTCTTCTAGAGTTAGTCTACTTTCTCCTCCAGAAGAGGTATTTAGAGAAATGCCAGACTTCTTTCTCGACTCTCCCGTCCCTCCCAAACTCGATCTGGCCGCCGCTCCTTCTCAGCTGTTTCAAGTCCCTCAAACTCCGTCAGCCTCGTCCTCGCTCTATCGCTCCATATCCCTCCCCAGCCGCAAGCGATCTCGCTTTGAAGCGGGGGAGAGGCGTCCTTTCTATGACTCTCCCGTCGATCTCGCCAGCCCCGCTCCTTTGGTCAACACCGACTATCATCTCGCCGGCGGGGGAGAATACAATTATCAGCAACAGCCGTACTACCATCAACAGTTCTCCCGCGGACCTTGGCTTGTACGTCGCGAGAATCCCGCGGAGGTCGACTACCGTCCCAGTCGCTATCGAGATCATCCTCTTCCGGCTCCTCTCGATGTCAGTATCGAGTCCTTGACCCCCAGTGAGGCTTGTGGACCCAGTCGCAAGCGCAATCGTCGGGATTCGAATTTGCCATCCAGCCCGAAGCAACCCACCCATGATGAAAAGAACAGCAGTCCCTCGCAATCTGAGCCCGTCAGCTGGAGCCGGGCAGTTTTCAATGTCGTTGGCAAAGTGTGGGATTTTTGTTGGTCGGGTGCTTTCCGAGGCTTCTACGCCGGAGGTGGCCGGGGATACAGCATGGGAGCCGATTCTGGTTCGAGAACACAGCCTGATGAAAGCTGGGAGGCACCAGTGTCCACTGAAAAGGAAAATTACATGGCATCCAACGATGTCACCCATCAGCGAGACGGATCATTCCCCGTCCCTGGCCGGTTTCCGAAGGATGAAATTCAACAGAATTGGGTCATGGTTCATGAGGACTCTCAGGATGGTTTCTTGCAGGTGATCAGTCCATCGCCTGTAACTGCTCGGCGCGTGAATCGCCGGCACGGTGTCGTCCCGTCCCATACTCGTCGCAGATCAGGCGTGACGATGCCTCGGTCTGGGAAAAGGATCGTGCCATCAACTCCAACCAGGTCGCAGTTTTCATCACCAGCCAAGCCGCGCGAGAGTCCTGTTTCAGTCGAAACGCAGCGCTACGTGGCTCGGATGCGCCGCATGGAGCGCGAAGAAGACGCTAGTTTGCAACGACTTAACGAGCAGCTTCAAGCGATGATTAAGGAAGGGAAGCAAGCCTTGGGAACACGGGTTGAGGTGGACGATCTGGATTTGGACGAGGACTATTGATCTTGGGAATGAGTTCACGACTCAAGACGCTCTTTCATATTGATACTCTCAAGCGTTCGTTTACCTTTCGAATTTTGGACGATCACTCTCAGATGACCACTGTTCTGCTGCGGTATCTCCTTCCCTTTTTTTGTTTTGCGGTCGAGAGGCCTGTTTAAGTCGGACCTACAGCCGAGAGAACTTCGGAGTCTCTCGCTTCTGCTGAGCAGTTGTACTTTTGAGGCATTTTTACGAGTGTATGAACGTTAACGAATGACATGATATGATCTGACCCTTGACTTTTTACTAATTCACATCGATCCCGCAATCTCAAATGTGGTAGTGATGATTCTGTCAAGGTGGAGGGGGAGTGAGTGCGTCTCCGACAGGCTTAACCAGACCAGAAAAATTAAAAGACTTGAAAAGATCCGGATTCAGGAGGAGATTGGCGAGCGTTGGGGCCTCTAGCCGGGGCTTGTTATCGTTCAAGTGGGAGGGAGTGTTTTTGGCCCCGATCTGCCAGTTTTGAACTATCAGTGAGGACCGACCTGCTGCTCCTGATATAACAAGGTAGACTCACGGGAATAGGTGCTGCCGTCGCCATGGCCACGAGCAGGGTAATGACTGCGGTGGATGACTTGACCATCTTGTTTGTCCTTCTGTTAGTCTGCATTGGGCCAGTTGAGGCACATGTATGAAGTTGCGGTTCGACTTACTGTCTTCGATATTGCAGTATTGTCGAGGACTGGACGGATGTGCGCAATGGGTCAGTGAAATGTTTTCTGGTTTGCGGTCAGTCTATGAGTTGTATGTGTTGTTAATAGTTGACGCGACGAGTCATCGTGTTTGTTACCCCTAGATCAGGGCTACATTCCAGGAGCTGGATCATGTATCACTATTCTTATCTGGCCTTGCCCCCTACGATGGCCTTTCTGCTGATCAAGGGACTTTATTGTCCTGCGCAATCGCCGCAGATCATGATTTGCGAACCTCTAATTCCTAATGGCTGTCTCGCAAGCAGCCTTCAACTGTGTGTCTGCTCGACGGCGTCTGTCTCATGCACATACACGAAGCTTATAAGTCCGAAATTAATTGTCTCGCCTCCTCCGCTTCATGTCATCCATTCTCAATGTAAGGGATGGAATGTATCACTCATAGGCAAGGGTTGAGTTCGTGAGGAGTAGCGGGAGGACTCGGTACCTATAGAGATAGAGATTTGGAGCAAAACACATAAAGATGGCTTAAGGCTTGTATACGATGAGACACGAGCGTCACGGCAGTAAGACGCATCAACATGCTTATATTCGCTTCGGTTGCATGCAAAGGTATGCACAATGTCCATTCTCCGAGCGCCATATAGATAGATCGTGACATGGAGTACAAGGCAGCCAAACAGATAATTTAACCATGAATTGGAACGATGCTCCATCACAGTCCCAGCACTGCTACGATGATGATTTGATATGTTTATTTCCAAGCCATCACGTCTTCATTTGACCCGAAGGGCGGTCCCTTCTGACGGCCGAGAGCTTAGCCTCCTTGCTCATACCGGCGACTCGAACTTTTCTTAACAGACAACAGGAAAAGAAAAGTCAGGGTAGAGGCGACCGAAAGGAAACGCAGAAAATTTACATAAAAAAAAAAAAAATGACCTACGCAGGATTCGAACCTGCAATCTCTTGATTCGTAGTCAAGCGCCTTACCATTGGGCCAGCAGGCCATTTGATGAGGAAGCAAAAAACATTTTAGCTACATGAGCTAGACCAAAATCTAAAACCGAAGCTGTATTACCATTTGCCCTAAAATGCATCTACATGTCTAACACATTGACCAGATGGTCATAATCTAGGAAAGGAGGTCAGCGGACCGAGTCTTCTCTCCATTGCTCGATAAGCATGCCAGTCCCACCGCACGCCTAATTGAAGCATACATCGAATCCGTGCGGCTACAATTGGTACAGACGTCCTTCGAACGGTCTCAGAAAGATGAGGTCCGGAGTAGAGCTTGCTTCGCACGTCATATGGTTCGACATGAGTAGCCTGGATGTCGATAAGTCCACGCTGTGATTCACATAGTTCCATGAGGAGGCGCAGCCGGAGAAGTTGAGCACGACAAGATAGCATTTGTGTTTGGATTTTCGCTTGTAGGCCCAGATAATGGGGTTTTCCACGTCCAAGCATTCGTATGACCCGTAGTACTGGACCAAGTCAGTATCAGAGGATATGGAAAGCGTTCCAAAGGTGTACTTGCCAGAGTCGGGTTGGCCTTTCGCATGGTGATCAGAGAGCGATAGAATGACCAGACCGACTCAGGACTGTGTCTCTGGCTGGCGTGGCACCATTCTCCGCCGTGATCAAAGGCGGGAAGCCACGGTTTGGCTGTCGGTTCTGTGAATCCGCCATGGGCATCCTCGGTCCACTGATAGGAATGTCAGTCAGCTAACGTGGTGATCAAAGTGAAGTGAATGTGGTGTCTCACCGGGATGGGTATCCGAGTGTTATCGCGACCTTTCTGTATGATGGCCTTTTTGGCCAACTCGAGCTTTTGTGGTGCTTCAGTTCCTGCCTCTTCACAAGCGCTTCGTTATGTGAGGAATTGGTCATTTTGCCTGGCCAGAATAAGTGACACGTACGCTTTCCAATATTGGATTGTCTCGATGTCTTGATTCATTTCTTCCGAAAAGAGTCCCGGGTTGATCATCCCTAGTTCCTGCCCCTGGAAGATGAGATTTGTGCCCTGGAGCGTGAACTGCCATAGAGCAAGCAATTTGGCACACAGAGCCCGAAATCGCGGACTGTTGGTAGTGAACCTGGAGATGCCTCTTGGCTGGTCGTGATTCTCCATCCAGACTGTGTTCCATCCCCCATTGTTGACCAATGTTTCCTGCCACTCGTTGATGATTCGTTTCAATTCGGGGAGCTCCCATTCCCGCAGCATCCACTTGTCGCCATCGTGACAGTCAAGCTCTACATGCTGGAATTGGATGACCAGGTTTAGTTCGGGACGAGGATTGAATCGTGATGTATATCGAACAGCTTCAGGAGCGGAGACGCCGCAGGACATCTCTGCCAGGGTCACGCAGTCGTAATGGGAGAATACTTCCTGGTGCATTTCCTGCAAGTACTCATGAATATGAGGACTATAGAAGTATGTCAGTCTTGCAGCCCCGACAGGAGTTAATGGAACTTGCGATGGGAGTAATCGTACCCGTTTGCAAACAAGTAATTTGCCGGCTGCCATATTGAACCTTCCTTCGAAATCGGAGCATCTGGGAAGGATGATGTCTTTGACACCAAGTTCATTGTGTCGAGCTTCGCCAGTGTGACGAGTGGTCAGCCATGAGGACTACAGCAAGGCAAACATAATTGCTCACCCGGAATCCATCCACTCCCTTGTCTAACCAGAACCTCAACACTTTGTACAGTTCATTTCGTACTTCCTCGCAATCCCAATTTAGGTCGGGCTGATTCTTGCCAAATATGTGCAGGTCTTGATCTTCCGTCAGCCCCATATATTAAGACATTAAAGTGACGAAGTACGCACAGAACTCGCCTGCCACCTCGTCCCACTCCCAAGTCGAACCTGCCCCAGACAGAGTGAGCTTCAAGGACGAGGAATGAGCGTGAAGCTCCGGGCCGTACCGGTAAAAGTACTCTCCCAGTTATTTGGAGGTATACGGTTGCCAAACTCATCTACCTTCCCTTCGCTCCAAAAATACCAGTCTCGCTTACCTAGGCTTGGGTCTTTTCGAGCGCGTCGAGAGGTTTGGAACCATTCATGCTTGGAGGAATGCTAGTCAGTGAGTCATTATTATCTTGTCATCCATCGTGGACTCACCTCGGTTGCAGTGTGATTGAGAGCGATGTCCAGGATCAGCCTGAGTCCTCTTCGATGTGTTTCCTGTATCAGAAGTTCCATGTCCTGCATGGTTCCAAAAACTGGATTAACCTTTCGATAATCACTAATGTCATACCTGCAATCGTCTCGTCAGTCTCACGATACAATGCTTCATGTCCAGCTCATCTTCATACCCCATGTCCCGCATTGGCGATTCGTAAATAGGTGAAATCCAGACAACGTCAATACCGAGAGCGACGAAATAGTCGAGGTGATTAACTATCCCGCGAATGTCCCCTTTGCCATCCCCATCGGTGTCTTGAAAGCTCTGAATCAATACCTGATAGATGGTTGCTTTCTGCCACCAACGCAGATTGTCGAGACTGTCCGATTCTTCGCATTCTTTTGATGCATCAGGGCTATGCGCCCTGTCTGTGTTGATCGGGTGGAAATCTGAGCTAGACATAAAGGAGACGTCTTCTCTCGCGCTTGCGCTTCCATGCTACAAGACGGAGCAACACACGAACGTTACAAAAGTTCAAAATCATCGCATATCGGGTGAGAGGTGGTATCTGTTCCGCGGCTTGGTTTTCCAGTCAATCTCTAACGGTCTTGTTGAGGTCATAGGATGGTCATTTCGTCCGACGGATATCTATTCCATGGGATGTCCTTCCCACGCTTCGAGAATATATCATCAATGATGATGGCACTGGCAAATAGATCATCTTGGGAGGCAAAATATTGCCCCAGCTGTATAAATGACTACTTATTCTTCCATGTCAAACACCCCTGTCAAGGATGTTTCAACTGAGACGATTTCTTCTTCAGAGAGCCTTCCGCTGTGGGTTGCGAAGCTTGCCTCCCACATCTGCCAGACCATCTAACTCAGACCATCAATCCTACCAGCCTCCAATAAGTTCTCTTATCAAAGAAAAACCTTTTTCGACAACCGCAAAGATGCCAGCTCCAACGTCTCGGAACAAGTGCGTGACAGCGTCCGGCACGTACAAGCCGCAAATTCTCGATATGGATCGAGAATGGTGGCGAGAGATCATCATCTATGAGATCTACGTGCAGTCGTTCCAGGATAGCAACAATGATGGCATTGGTGATCTTCGCGGCATCATCCAGCGGCTCGACTATCTGAAAGATCTTGGGGCGGATATGCTGTGGTTGACCCCCATCTATGAATCACCCCTTGAAGATCAGGGCTACGACATTGCAAACTACAAGGGTATCAATCCCATGTATGGAACCATAAAAGACTGGGAGGACCTTGCTGCAGAAATTCATAGGAGAGGAATGAAGATAATGATGGACATGGTGTTCAACCACACCAGCTCCCAGGTGAGCAGATCTAGTGCCGAAACACCGTTACTTCTGTTAATGGTTAGCCAGCATGCATGGTTCTTGGAGTCGAAGAAAAGCCGAGACAACCCGAAGAGAGACTGGTACTTCTGGCGAAGGGGAAAGACAGGCAAAAATGGAGAGCACTTACCTCCTAACAATTGGGAAAGTCTGTTTGGAGGTCAGCAAATCTCTCGATTCAGCCAGCTAAGCAAGGCACTATCATACTAATGCATCACATAGGTCCGGCATGGAAGTATGATGAGCATACAGACGAATGGTGTAAGTCTTCCAGAGATAGGTTTTACCCCAATGACAGAAGGCTCACCAATAACAGACATGCATCTGTTCTCGCCATCTCAGCCAGACCTGAACTGGGACAACCCTGAGGTACGGAATGCAATCTTCGACGTGATTGATTTCTGGGGAAGTAAAGGAACGGACGGCTTCCGGGTAAGTCAG